CCCAGTAAGCTCTGGATGCTCTGAGTGCTCTGGCCGCATGATTTTATTTCCCAAACAGGTTTAGCTGTGAGGGGTTCTTACTCCTTTGAAAGGGCCGGCCGCGTGATTGTGCATGTGTCTCCCGGTTTGTGTTCCTGCCACACGAATGATGTTGCAGCTGTCTCTCAGTCTAAGCCGCATGATTTTACACTTGTCTCCCGCTTGTCACTTGTCTCCCTCGTCTTCCTGTCTCCAGTACACTCTGCTGCTCTGGCCGCGTGATTGTACACTTGTCTCCCACTTGTCTCCCTTGTCGCTTGCCTCCCCCTTGTCTCTCCCTGTCTCCAATACACTCTGGGTGCTCTGGCTGCATGCTTTTGCACTTGTCTCCCACTTGTCTCTCCTTGTCTCCAATACACTCTGGGTGCTCTGGCTGCATGCTTTTGCGCGTGTCTCCGTCTGGGTCCTCTGGGCCGCGTGAGATGTTTCCTCTGCCTACTCTGGATACACTTGGCTGGGGATGTTTGTTTTTACACCTGTCTCCACTGGTCTCCCACTTTTTCGGCCTACTTTGGATTACGCTTGGCCGGTTGCTTGTCTTCTTGCTTCTATGCTCTCGGTTGGATGAGTTTACACTTCTCTCCCTGCTTGTCTCCCTTCTTGCTTCACTTGTCTCCACTTGTCTCGGCCTGCTCTGGATACGCTTTTGCACTTGTCTCCGCTTGCCTCTTCGCCTGCTCCCTGCTTAGACACTCTTGGCCAAGTGGCTTTACGCTGTCCCACTTGTCTCCCTGCTCGTCTCCCTTCTTGCTACACTTGTCTCCACTTGTCCCCGTGCTTGTCTCCCTCGCTTCTTCACTTGTCTCCCTTCTTGTGTCCCTGCTTGTCTCACACTTTGGTTGAAAGCTTTTAACATCTTTTAGCCAAACAATCATGATAAAGCCACATGTCAGTACAACTCGCATATTCAGTAGATTTGCGTTCTATTTCGTCTGAATTGTCGGTTGTGACCTTGAGCCAATTGAGCCAAGTGCTGAAACAAGCCCAGAAGGTCCGAGTTGATCACCGCGAGCTGGAACGGTTTGAGCCGTTGACAGTTTGACAGTTTGTCTCTGTGGTGAACTTCATAAACGCACAAACTGTTTGGGGTCTACGCTGGTATAATATATATATATACTTAAGCTTTGGTGAGTGTGAAGATGAGGCACACAAAAACTAATATGTTTGCGGAGGCTACTTGTCACAAACTGAACAACGAACTAGGATGATTCAAAGAACATGCTGGTTTGAAACACGTTGGTGAGATGAACATACGGATTCAAACAAATTGTTGCAGTGAGGATGCGGCAATCAGCTGAAACCCATGACTTCTGCATGTGTGTCGGCTCGACAACAGCTCCCCGGGAGCACCTGCTTGCAAGCCTTGCTTGCGTCATTGAAGCTGGCAGGGCGAGTGTCTAAAAACAAAAAGGGAAACGGATTTCAATTCGAAATTTGGTTGAGCGTTTTATGCAGTTTGTGTCCACTTCTTACTTTTTACCTGGAGGCTGAAGGAGATGGCCATTGCCGCTCTGCCATGTTTAACCAAACCAAAGATTGGTGTGAACATGTTGGTTTGATAGGTGGACACTCCTTTGGCACTGAGATGTGCTGCTGAATTCATTGGGGCATTTTTGCCCTTCTTTTCGGTTGGTCCAGCACTTGGAAGACGAGAACCCAAAGACCTGTTTGAAGTAGAGTGAACAGCGGGATCATTGTTGCACCGGTGTAAGTCTATATAGTTGAAATCTTGGATGCAGATTGACACTCGTGAGGTTTCAATGTACTGTCTGGAGCTGCAGTATTTGGCGGGCTGTCCCTGGCAACCTCTTTGTCCATCTGGCATGTTTGTAAGGGAAAACACAGATACATTGATGAGCGGTACGAAAATTTTTTCGCGGAAGGGCATGTTTAAAAGGTCAGTATGGAGCATAGAAGATGGGTTCGTTACCTTGCCAGAAGTGTTCTTCTGCCAGGACCGTCTTGACCTACGCACTTGCAGGACTCTCTGGCGCCAATTTCTCACCAGCAGTGACGCTGGCGCTACTTGGTTGCGTGCAGCACATCAATTGTTGGAGTGCTGACATTTCTTCGGTGCAGCTACATGAGCTAGTTGTTGGCTCCAAACTATAAGTAGACATTTGATCAATGGACAGGGTTTGTAGGGTGATGGTAAGAGACCTTAGCATACAAGTTAAGTTTCCGTAAGAACCTAGGAACCAAATGATTAGCGTGAGCTATTCTGCGTCCAGTATGTAGTAGCTAACTTAGTCTAGTAGCTTACTTCTGCCTTACTTGGTCAAAAAAAAAGGACTGTATGGATTTCTTCGAAACGATTGAGGCTCTGCACCAGCAAGAAACTTGGAGGGTCGGTGCCCTGGGCCGCAGAAGCACTGGAGTCGGGCGACTTGGGAGTGCACTTTTGAGGCCTGGACTGGACTTTGGAACCTCCGGCACGTACATTGCAGTGGAGACCCCAGAGACCACCCGGTAGACGCCGCCGGCACGTTTCTTTTTGATGTCCGAGGTACAATTGCTTGGTGGACTGTGTAGTGGTCTTTGCTTTGTGGCAGACTAAGAAAGTCTTTCTGAATCTCTTGACCGGTCAAGGCCAGTGATGTGTTTGGTGGTGGTTTTCCTGAGATCAGGTGAATGTTTTTGCTGATTCGTTCAGGCCAGATCGTATTGAATTGCCACCGTCGCAGGTTTGTACACACATATTATGCAAAAACATCATGTAGGCTAGGACCCGGAGCTGGCTTCAGCGTGGTCCTTAGCACGGTAGTTCTTTCTTTAAAACCACTCCCCGTGGATTCACTCGAATGCTCCCTGCCAGGCTGGGTGGGAGCTTGCCTTTGCGAGTTCCTTTATTCTATGTTCTTTTGCTTTGTGGTGGTTGTCTCAGCGAGCTTTAACATTTCAACGATAAACCTTTGAATTTCCTCTCAGCGTTTGCAAAGCAACTGACCCTTCTTTGTGTCTAGGTGCTTAATACCACAGCTGCAAGGGCATACAGCTCCGAGGGGCCGGGCTTTTCAGAGATTCCTTGGACCCTTTCCAAATGATCACTGCTGCTGGACAGGAACCAATTCTATGGCCTCGCGATTGGTGCCATGGCTTTGGCTGCCTCATATGCAGCAGGGCCAGTTTCTGGTGGCCTCATCAACCCAGCCATCACCATTGGTGCCAGCCCAATTCTTTGTATGTCGAACAATTCTAGCGACAAGATCGCTTGGACTTAGCTTCTTCGTAACCTTGCAAATCACAAGGCTTTTTGAGCTCCTATTCTGAGTTTACACTTTCAAAACTCCAGGTGCTGACCTTGCAGGCGCTGGATTGGGCCTCAGGCACTAGCTTGATTCATAGTATAGGTCAGGTCAATTGAAGCTTTTGTAAGCAGTCTGAAGCGGTAAGGTGCGGGCTTTGGGAAGTCCTTGATTTACGCAGTCTTTCAGCTGCCCATGACTCAGAATCATCAGATATGCAACATTTGTGGTGATACTCTGTGGCTCTGTGGCTCTTTCATCCAAGAGATGACATGTAGGCTCGGCGCTGCATTTTCGGCATTGCTTTTCAAAATGGTTTCGAGCTCAGAAGAAAGTCCGCGCTTGGTCATATGTTTGAAAAAGTCCCTTTGCATAGAAATTGGATTTGAAGCACTGACTCTTTTGGCATGTTGGATTTGACTTTCAACAGAGCTCATGTGAAGGGCAATCAACGTTCCAAAATAGTTTTATACCAGTGTCATGAGCCGCCCATTCTCACAGTGAAAAGCGATGACATGTACAGTGCAAGGTGAGACCATTGGACTTTGATGAAAACGAGACTCCCCGAAGTAGGCGTGCTGTCGGGGCAAAAGTGAGTCGAGTGCTGTCCTTGTGCGGAGAAGAAGTGGAGGGCTAGCGGCTAGCAGGTGTGCTGTCCTTGTGCTTGACAGGCTTATCAGCGAGATGATTGGCACCTTCGCCCTGGTAGCGCCTTCAGAAAAGAGTGCTTTGCAGTCGATGCTCAAGCCTGTAAATCAAAGGTGATTCCTGGGTCACCATGTCTGCGAAACCTTTCTTTTTCAATTCTTGGTCAAGAAGTCACATGAAGGTCTTGACCGTCGGACTCGCGGTCCTGGCGAAGACTCCCATGGCTGTTGTTGCAATCGCTGGGTGCTGCTGACCGACTTTATGCCTTATAGTTCGTTGATTCTAGCCAGTGAGTCTCTGCAACGGCAGGTGTCTTGTTGCCATGGTCTATGCTCTTGGAGATGTGTGCAAAGCTCATGAGTTTTAATTGGTTAGATGGCCCAATTTGATCACATGTGATGTCACATGTGTTCATAAGGTCAGGAGCACATTTCAACCCGGCAGCGGCCAAGCTCAATTTGGCACCATTGGTATTCTTGTTTCTAATAGCTTCTTGTTACTACTAGTAAGGCACTTGTTACTAGAAGCGATGCACTTGTCCCTAGTAGCTTATTGTTTCTAATAGCTTCTTGTTACTACTAGTAAGGCACTTGTTACTAGTAGAGATGCACTTGTTCCTAGTAGCTTATTGTTACTAATAGCTTCTTGTTACTACTAGTAAGGCACTTGTTGCTAGAAGCGATGCACTTGCTCCTACTAGCTTCTTGTTACTACAAGTAAGGCACTTGTTACTAGTAGCGATGCACTTGTTCCTAGTAGCTTATTGTTTCTATTTCTTTGTCCTTGTGACCCTTGAGACTATTCGTACTTTTCACAGCTTGCCATGATTGCAATGATGATGTCCTTGTTTGAAATTCGCCCGGACCATACTCAGCAAGGTAACTGTTGCAGTCTTGGTGTCCGGGCATGTGGCTTTGCTGAATTGCTGGCATTCCACGGTCTCAGTCCATCCAACGCTCAGCCAGGATCCGGACATGATTCCAAAGCGTGCTGTTGGGAGCCCAGGGCGGATTCGGTAGATCCAAGCCCAAGGCACAATTCTTCCGGTGTTCAACGCGAGCGGTTTCGATTCAACTAACATGATGTTTGAGGGGTACTATATTGGATCACAGCTGCTCAGTGCCATCATCGCTGGTTGGACCGGATCCCAGCTGATCACGATTTGTCAGTACCTTTGTACGACGTCGTGTGGTGCTGCAAGTGGATTCGACCAGGTGTTTTTGTTTGCTCCACAACGGCAACTCCTTCGTTGTGGCACCGGGAGAAGGTGCGACGGAGATGTAGCAAGAGTCAGGTGATACAATTCAGAAAGTTCTTCAAACAGCAGTGCGTGGGGAAGACTGGTTCGGACCAAACAGACAATTCTATTACGCCCACAGTAGATGAGCCCGGGACTTGGAGCGTCCAACGCTCCAGGACCCCTCCCCCTGGTAACGATCTCTCCAATCCCAGTACCCGGTACGCTCCAGGATTCAGCCTGGCTGCAGCTGCAGTGGCCGAGATGTGCATCTCCCAAGAGTCCAAGAGACAAGAGCTGCTTTGGGATCTTATGGGGAAGCCTGACCCATGGCAAGAGCTCGTGACCAGACGAAGGCCACACAAAATGTTTAATCACCTCCCAAAATGTTTAATTGTCCCTCCCAGATGTTCTTAGTCCCAGCCCACCGTGCTGTGGGGTGTTTTCCCAGGTTCTTCACCGGGCTTCTGGCCTTCGTCGTCTTGGGTGTCGCCGTGGCGCCGAAGACCAAGAGCTTTCAGATCTTCGGCCTGGCCATAGGCGAGTTGATCCATGTGCCAAATGGTTCCAGTGAGTGTTGAGTTTTGAATTCAACCAGACTCCTTTGTGTTCAGTTCAACCAGACTTGTGTCTTCATTCTTCCCTGCTTCTTTTCTCCGGGTTTCTGGCTTCTGTGAACCTCACAGGCTTCTGTGTCGTGGTGGCTGGCTTCTCTGTGGGCAATGTCTCCGGCGCCTTCCTAAATCCTGCCGTCTCGGCCGGGACCTAAGAGCCGTCTCCGTCAGCGGAGCCGCGGTGCGGTGCCAAGCCGGCCGCGGGGTTCGCCGTGGATCAGGTCGGAGTGGCCGCCAGTGGAGCTGGTGCCAAGCTAAAAGGTGTCTGTCGAACCGAGCATCACAAAACCGACAGTGCTATGCAGTGCTCAAAACTAAGGCATGAGGTGCAACATGCGACACACAGTGTTGATGTATTGAGTAGAACTTGGCTCAGGCTGGAGCAGCGTGAAGACTGCTGTCCGCTACACTACCTTCCAGCTTTTGGGTGGTGCATATCCAAGTACCTTGTGCAGTCTTTGCCTAGTCGCAGTCACTTTCGTGTGTTGGCTCGGAGACTTCGCAGCTCAAATCCAGCTCAGGAAGTGTTGCCGGTGGTTTGAACTATCTCCTTCACAGCGAGGTGTCTGAGCCGACCTCAGTTACTCTCCACGCCTCAGCCACTGACCTCATAGAAGAGCTCACCAAGCCACTGCCAAGTTCAATGTTTGTTTGCAAATAAATTGCCCACACAACCAGGGCTGTTCCCTTTCTTCAACGGGAAATACCTGGGTACATGGGTTGACCTAGCAACAGAAGCGAGATTCGATTGAAAGTTCGGCTCCTGATACATTCCAAGCTCCACAGTGTCCCGGCACGTTCTTCCTTTGCATTGTCATGTGAGCATCTGAAGGCTGCGGGAGAAACTACGAAGTTACTGGGCGCAGCCTGAGCAGTCACAGGGCCAAAGCCTTTCAAACCAGAAAGCACAGCAGCGCAGAGATGCGAGAAAAAGCTCGTGCGACTCTTGGTTATAATCAGTTCTTTGCCTTCCTTTGACATCTGGTTTCTTGAAGTGCCACTGTTTGCCTGTTTGACTGCAGCCAGCAGCCTCGCTGTTCCCGATTCAGTGAAGTGGCCTGGTGGGGCAAGCCACCATGGCACCAGCCACAGAACCAACTATAGGCTCAAAGCTTCTTGGCTGCGGCTTCTTTCGTTGGCACTAGAAGCAACCAACACATACGGTACAGACTTTTGTACTCCTTTGCAATTCCAAAGGTTATCATTGCTAGAACGAATCCAAGAAAAGAAGCCAGAGTAGCAACATTGTTTAGCCACTGCTCGCAGAAATTGAGCAACACGAGTCCCTGAGGCTTGTTGCGGAGTTCGTAGGCGTGGCCCTTGAGGTTTTTTTGCACTTCCAGAGTCCGAATATCCTTGCAAAATTGTATCAAGTTAATCGCAGAAAGCAGGTCTCTTCAAAAAAGATGCCCAGGAGAAGCATCTATAGTACATGGTACTGATGCATGCAGTCAACAGAATCTTGATGGTGGAAGATCCTGACTTTGGTGTATGAGAGTTCTCTCATGAGTTCGCAGGTACATTTCTCTTGACCTTCACGGTGGGTTGCAATGTACTTGCCGGCAACGCGACTTGGGGTGGAGTTTCAATCGCCTGCCTTTTGATGGTCGCCGTGTACTCATTGGGTCCCATCTCTGGTGCCTGCCTCAACCCTGCTGTCTCCTTGGCTCTTGGCATCTCCAAAGCCATGGGAGGCTCAGGCCTTGACTGGATTCAAGTTGGCCTTTACACATCCGTCCAGTGCCTTGACCAAAACTCTTTGGAAGGAACTCCTTTTTACTTGAGTACCCAAGAGATCATTCTATTTTAGACAGTGAAGGCGGTGCGATCCCCCAAAAGAAACCACACATATATTACAATCGGCAGCCCCTGCTGGGGGAGAGCGAGAAACGGGTGAGGCAAGTATACCATTAAAACTTTGTTGATGATGCGAGTGTTGCAAAACTAGTATCATTGCATTTTCTGCATCGTCACTTTTCCTCAGATAGACCACATACCGACCTAGCAGTGGCTTTCGTCCCCTCACTTCTCAGGTATATATATATATATACACACACACACACACTCCGGCAGGTTCCAGTGAACCTAAGGAAGGCTTCTTTGTGGCGTTAAGCCTGCTTGGACCGCTGCGGTCACCAGATACTCAGTTTCAACAATTCGGCAAATCTTGGCAAATAACTCTGGCATGAGCCTCCTGCTGTCCGCTTCGGACACCTACGTTCGCAAGCCGGGGAACATGGAAAAACCCCGTTCAGGGGGCACTCCTCACTCGCCACACGGCAACCTAGGTGACCATATTCCTGAAAAAGCATGAAAGGGGCCGGGGCACCTTTGGTTAAAGGCCAGAGGTCCAGCTCCACGAAGCCACGAACAGGTCGAAGTGACGGCGATCGCTCTTGTCTGCAGAGTGCATTAGCCCTTTATTGAATAGTAGGGTCACAGCTTGATCAAAAGTTCAACCATTGGAGGTACAAGTCTGTGCGTCTCACAGACTCAGCCACCCATTTCTCTAGCTTGAGAAATGGGCCGTTAGCCCCCTGCTCATCAATCAGCATTCAAAACAACACATCCGAAAGGATCCCTGTGACTCCAAGGGTTTTCACGCCTCCCGATTGGCGATGCAAAAAAGACAAACGAATGACGACATGAAAGGAGGACAAGACAGACCAGATGTATGTGGTTGCAATGAAGCGGAACCAAGTGACCAGGAACGACCGATGAACCCAACCTCGTTGTAACAACGGCGACCTGAGACCTGGGTTTAAAGTGTGAGTGCGCGTACACACTAAGGGCTGGAGAGAAAGGATGACGTGCCAAGACATGAAGACAGAGAGACATGAAACAAAAGAAGGAAAGAAAGTGTGTGTGAAGGGTAAAGAATGAAAAGGGTAACCAAATGCAGGGGCCGGAAACCAACGAAGCCAGACCTCATTTAAGCGACCTAAGGAAAACCTGGTTGAAAGTGTACGTGCTGTGCGTGCACATGAGGCTCCGGCAGGTTCCGCATGTAGCCTATTCAGTTTCAATAACTCGGCAAAATTTGGCAACATAAGTCTCCTGCTGTCCGCTTCGGACACCTACCTACGTTCGCAAGCTGGGGAACATGGAAAAACCCCCTTTCGAATTGAATGCCACTCGCCACAGGGCAACCTGGGTGACCATATTCCTGAAAAAACATGAAAGGGGCCGGGGCACCTTTAGTTGAAGGCCAAAGGTCCAGCGCCACGAAGCGACGAACCGGTCGAAGTGACGGCGATCGCTCTTGTCTGCAGAGTGCGTTAGCCCTTTACTGAATAGTAGGGTCACAGCTTGATCAAAAGTTCAACCATTGGAGGTACAAGTCTGTGCGTCCACAGACTTATCCACCCATTTCTCTAGCTTCGTTGGCTAGCGTCGAGAAATGGGCCGCTAGCCCATTCATCAATCAGCATTCAAAGCAACACATCCGAAAAGATCCCTGTGACTCCAAGGGTGACACACACAAACACACACACACACACACCTAAGCAACAAGAAAGTGCAACAAAGATGTTGCACTTCTGCACGTAAGTGTATTCCTTGAAGCACGAAAGTTCCACTACACCCTGCTTGGAAAACTCAACATACTTATTTGACCAGTTTGAGTGTCTGATTACTTTTTGAGGGGCGAAGCTTGCTTTGCCAGGCTCGGAGCTGGCATTGCGGCCGCAGTTTCCTACGCTTTGCTGTACGGCCAGAGCTTTAACCTGGCGCCAGCAGAGGGCTTTGGGTGGCTGAATGCGGGCCTGTGTGAGATGTTGTACACGTCCCTTGGTCATGTTCCCCATTTAATCATTTTTGCGATGCGATTCGAACAAAGCTTTCTAGCATGATTCATTGAATGGTTGACATATGAACAACTGAACACTTCCAGGTTCATGCTTTGCTTTGTGGTTCTCAATGTGGCTGTCGCCAAAAAGAACCTCACCGAGTCCAACCAATTCTTCGGCCTGGCCATTGGACTGGTGATCATTGCCGGTGCATACGGTGCAGGGGCTGTGTCTGGTGGATGCTTCAACCCTGCAGTGGCCGTTGGAATTGATGTCTCCAGTGTATTCCTGGGATTCGGATGGAGCGTTCTTTATATCGTCTTTGAGATCTTTGGAGCTGCTCTAGCCGTCCTTGCCTTCAAGATGGTGCGGCCTGAAGACTTCCATGAAGACAAGTCTCCCAAGACTGAGCTGGTGTCTGAATTCCTGGGCACCTTCATGCTGGTTCTAACGATCGGTTTGAATGTCTTGGGCAAATCCAAAGCTGGAGCGTTTTCCATAGCTGCTGCCCTGACTGCCATGATCTATGCACTGGGTGATGTTAGTGGTGCCCACTTCAACCCCGCTGTCACTGTGGCCATCCTGCAATCTGGCCGCTGCCCTGAGCTCTCGCCAGCCAAAGCAGGTTTGTACATTGCAGCACAGATTACCGGTGGTCTCGTAGCTGCAGGAACTTATGCCTTCATTTACGTTGGACAGTCTTTCCCTCTTGGACCAGTTGGAAACAGCACTTGGGGCCAAGTTGTGGTGGCTGAGTTGATCTTCACTTTCCTTCTCAGCTTTGTTGTCCTATCCGTTGCCGTCTCCAAGCAGACCAAGTCTTCTAACATGTTTGGATTCCTCATTGGCTCCTGCGTGACGGTAGGAGGCTTTGCTGTTGGAGGCATCTCTGGTGGCTCACTAAACCCTGCTGTGTCGATTGGCCTTGCCGGAGTCAGCATCTTGAATGGTGGTGTTTTTCTTCCAGCTTTGGCCTACTCAGCAGTGGAGATTGTTGGAGGACTGATCGCGGCAGGAGTTTTCAAAGTCACACACGAGATAGACACAACGGCAGAAGAGAAGGAGAAACTTGTGGCATAGTCCACTCGGTAGAAAGCCGACTCGCAAGTCTCGATAGAAAGTGCCTTCGGACGTGTAGGTGGCGGGTTGGGAGTTGCATTCTTACGAAGTGCCCTTGTTTTTGATTCTGAGTTGCTCTATATTCTTTATATTTGGCTCAAAGAAGCTTGTAGGGAACCTGGCAGAGAGCTTGTCAGATTGTTTTGTGCTTAGAATTTGCCAAAGACGCCTTGCACCTCCTGCACGAATGGCATCAAGTTGGTCGCAGACCACTGGAATTAGCCCGTCAGATTAAGCCGGAAAGAGACAGCCTTTTCCTCATTGCCTTGTTGAGGTTGTGGTACCGGCCTGTTGTGATGGCTGCCCTCCGACGTGCGTTGATGCGCACTGCGCTGCCTCTTGCCGAGGTGCGTTTGAGGTTCTGATGACATGCTGTCATGCTTTTGTTCCTTGTCTACGATGCATACTCTGCGCTGGAAGGTGGCAAAGCCTGCTGTGCAGAAGCAAGTGATCCAGCGAACCTTTGCTACAACGCAAGATGCTCAGATCTGTACTGACAATATCACAGCTATAACTTAACGGTATGGCAGCTCCAACTTGCTGGAGTGCTTTGCAAAGCTGGTTTCTGGAAATTGTCAGGAAGGCTGCATCGCCAGAAACACCCTTGATGCACTACACTGCGACGCAACAGGCTGTATGTTCTCAATGGCTTCAGAGCTACAGTACATGTAAGTTTTCTCAGTGCTGTCTCTTTGACTTGCCACTGTTGTACGGCCACTATCAATTACCGCAGTCAATTCTTCCGTGAGGCAACAAGCTCCATCAATCACCGTATTTTCTATGTCAATGTGGTGCGGAGCCCAGATATCCGCTCGTTGATGTCGTCTTCGTGGACGCAGGTTCTGAATCGCCTTTTGGGACCCTGTTGCTTCCGAGAATCGGTGTCCCCACCACTGAATGGTTGGATGGTTCTGGCGTAAGGGTTCTTCTTGTCACTTCGTTGGTTCTGGCAGAGATGTGCATTCTTGCCATCCAAGGTGGCGATGGTGCTTGTTTACGACCTGGGGTCTTCTATGCTTGACATTTGAGTGCAAAGACGGGCACTTGACACGTGAGTCCTTGATCTGGACGAGACCTCATGTGCTTCAGCCCATCTTATCATCTTGATTCTTGCCCTATCCAAGAGTGCGGAAGAGCTTCACCGCTAAAAGATGACAGCAACTTCAGCCGCAAGAAAAGGACAGCAAAGACTTGAATTCATCTGAGCGGTTATATTCGCAGCGATTATAGACCTTGGATGACCATTGACCATAGGGTCAAAGTGCATATTTAGAACAGTTTAGGCTTGGAATTTTGCCTTCTCCCCTTGGCTCGAAAAAGCTTAGCGGGAACTTGACAGGGAGCTTGTCAGATTGTTTTGTCCTTAGATTTTGCCAAATGCACTTTGCAAGACCACTTGGGTCGCAGACCACTGGAATTAGCCCGTCAGATTAAGCCGGAAAGAGACAGCCTTTTCCTCATTGCCTTGTTGAGGTTGTGGTACCGGCCTGTTGTGATGGCTGCCCTCCGACGTGCGTTGATGCGCACTGCGCTGCCTCTTGCCGAGGTGCGTTTGAGGTTCTGATGACATGCTGTCATGCTTTTGTTCCTTGTCTACGGATGCATACTCTGCGCTGGAAGGTGGCAAAGCCTGCTGTGCAGAAGCAAGTGATCCAGCGAACCTTTGCTACAACGCAAGATGCTCAGATCTGTACTGACGATATCACAGCTATAACTTAACGGTATGGTAGCTCCAACTTGCTGGAGTGCTTTGCAAAGCTGGTTTCTGGAAATTGTCAGGAAGGCTGCATCGCCAGAAACACCCTTGATGCACTACACTGCGACGCAACAGGCTGTATGTTCTCAATGGCTTCAGAGCCCAGTACATGTCAGTTTTCACTGTTGTACGGCGACGGTGACTATCATTCACCGCAGTCAATTCTTCCGTGAGGCAACAAGCTCTATCAATCACCGTATTTTCTATGTCAACGTGGTGCGGAGCCCAGATATTCAGAGCAGGTTGTTTCTCACAATGGATGATGCTTCCCCAAGTGAGACAACTGAGAGGGTGGCTGTTGAGAGCCAGGTGGCCATGGTCCTTGTTTACGACCTTGGCTCCTCAATGCTGGATATTTGAGCGGATAGATTTTGATCAATCTGATGGTTGACTGGACATCACGGAAAAGGGTCCGGACTTTGGCTTTTGACCTTTCCATGCCTTCCCAATGAGCTGTCCGATTTGGTTGCTCAGAGGTTGCTTTCTGTCCGACTAGGTCTTCTTGAATTTATCGTCATAGACATGTGTGGCACATCCACTCCTACACTGCAGACTAAAGGCCCAGCCAGGCCTTCAAGGCCTTCTGTGTACGCCATGAGTCGGTCTGTGTGCGCTGCATGAAATTGAGGGAGATGGACATTTCACAAGCCCTTTGGTTGGTTCTACTGCCAAGCTTCCTTTGGCTCAGACACGCATGCTCACATGCTTTGGTTGCAGAAAACAATGGCTTTCCGCTGACCTGCTCACCTACTGACGTGGTCTTCTTGAACATAGTTGGAACAATTTGAGAGGCATGGCAACCCACTTAAACACCAGGAAAAGCTCAATTAACACACTTGCTTGTGCTGAACCTGCTCAGTCTTGCCACAAAGCTGGAGACTCAGATCGCCACACGGTAGAGATGGTGATGATATATGTTCCATGATGTTCCGTGGCAAGCCCCAGATGGTTCGAATGTGTTTGCAAAGCGTTGTCCGTTATTGTTTCTAGCAACTGGAAGTTACATTCATTCCCCAAGTCGAGTGAGGACGTTGTTTAAGTCAATCAAGTGTAGTTGAGTTTGAGTTGTTTGCCGAAGCTCCTTTGGCTCTTCGGAAACTGGTGCAGAAGCCATGCCTCGCTTGGCGGCGGTTGGTGTCGCGGCCGTGGCTGCTTTTGCAGCGGGTGCGGCCTTTGTTGTTGCACCAGCCCGAGCTCCATTGGCTCCCACCCCGCCTCAGCCCAAGATAGCCCAAGGTATCACAAGTCATTGCGGGTTTTGCATGTTCAGGCCACTCGCGTCTGGAGCGAGTGGATCTGCTACTCAGTCTGCCGGCTGGGGCTTGGCTGCCGCAGGTACAGTCAGCAATCATGTCCTTAAGTTACGCCAGTACTGTTTACATCAGTTTCTTTGTTCAATGAAATTTTCCCGCGAAGGCATCGCTTTCGGTGCGCATGTTGGCCTTGCTGCAGCTTGGCGTGCTAGAGCTGCGACTGCAGCCCGAGCAGAGGGTGGAGTGGCGGCCTTGGATTTGTGACTTTCGATTGACTTGCAGACTTCTTGCAGTGTAGGGAAGGGCCCAGCTTCATTAGGGCAAGCCCTACGTGGAGACGCCTGCCGATGAGCGCCTGTTTGAGCAGGACGGAGGACATAGCATCGAATCCACATGCATCAATATTACTATAGACTATAACACTTCTCGTGGGTAGCATGATGCTTTGCTGAGAATCATTGGAGGGGCGTTATGAGTTTGTGCATATTGAGACGCCTTGCAATGTATGAGAGGTCTACTTGCAGTACACTTCCGAGTACATGAAGGGCCCAATGTACTGGCACCCTGACAAGATGTGACCTGGTGGCACTAGCAATTTGGTGCAACAGGCTGGAATAGACCTGACTGAAGTGGCCAGGCAGGGATTTGCCCCAGACTATCCTGGACGTCCCATTGTGAAGAACGGCAAGTACACTAGCAATGTGATCGGAAACCTGAAGGCAGGCGCTGCATCAACACAGGTTGATAGAGAGTTTCATGCACTCAGAGAAGTTGCTGCATGCATTTGATTGGAGGCCTTCAGCTCCAACGAGCTTGCGTTCCTTTCCATGCTCTTCTTCGGTGTTGGTCTGTATGGCAACCTTCAGTTCCTTGGCTGTTTCTTTTGTGATATATATATA